CCGGTGGCCTCCAGCTTGCCGGGCCGCGGTGGCCCGAGCGCTGAACTCCTCTCTGTAGGGAAGGGGTGACGGGAGAATTACCCGGGCATACGCACTGCGTGGTACGCAGGCTGTTAAAGCCAATAAATAAGTAAAATAATTTTAAAATATATAAAAATGAGGCAAAACGTGTATGATACCACCAGGCAGGCAGAGGGAGCCCAGCGTGTCGTGCCAAACCCCGGCGCCAGCCGCTTCCCGACAGGCAACGCAGCTTCCTGACGCAGCGACCTCACCCAAATGCGCCCGGGCACAGCCACACGTTGGGTTTACCTGAACGGTCGGAGATGCCTCCTTCGGAGTCAAAGTTCAAATTCTCGGAGCTGTCAGCGGTGCCGATAGAGGCTTCGGACTCCAGCGTTTCGTCATCGGAGGCCCGTGGCTCCAGCGTCAGCATCTCGAACGTCAGCTCCTCCCTGCAAAAATAAAGCCCCGGGGATCAAAGAGGACCCAAAGGCAGAGACCAAAAAGAGGAAGAAAGAGGAACTTTGCTGGGATTCGAGCTCAGAGAAGCAGCCCCATCTCACACAGGTATCTTGGACCCTCCACCCTCTGCCCTTTGCGACTCACTTCTCCTTCTGTAAGCTTTCGATCTGCTCTGTGAGCACCCTCTCTTCCTGCTGCATGGCCGCTTGCTGCTGCTCCGTGACATCCATCTCCATGGCCTCCTCGCTGCTCATGGTCTCCTCGGGGACGTCGGACACTGAGGGCAGGCGGACGGCGACGGGAGACGTGGGGCTAGGGTAGGTGCCGCGCCGTACACGGCCTTTGCCCTGAGGATAAACATGGGCGTCAAGGGCCTGTTATTCTGCAGCCCTGTCGGGGACTGCCTGATCCATCTCGGGTGGCGGCAGCGGAGCGGAGAAGACAACCTCCACCACCATCCCTGGGAGACTTGGTGTGTCAGCACCCCAATTTTCACATCAGGTTGTGGCACATACTGGGAAGAGTCTCAAGGAAAGCCCAGAAGATGAAGATGAAGCCAGTGTACCCAGACAACCACATGCAACTGGAACTTCAAAACTCAAGGACATGACGGTGCGTTTTGAAGGGCAGCCCGCAAGGAGGGAAGCTCAGCCCGCCCGGCGGCGCTGGCTCTGCAGGACAGGAGTGCGGCCAAAACGCTGGCATGCGGGGCACTATGCTGCCCTTGCTCTCCAGCAAGCGACAGCTGGGGAGAAGCAGCAGCAAACGCTCAAGGGACGCAGCTTTAGCACCCTTCAGAAAGACAAGGGCTGAATCCAACACATGATTTCCAGCAGACTGTGTCCCCAGCTTGCTGGGAGGCAGGCACAGAAAGCAGCCTGGGGCAACCAGCGTCGGGACCTAAGATGGGGTGAGACAGGTATGGAGCATGCAGGAGAACGGACTCCTTTCCTCGGGAAGCTGGAAGGAGCTTCCGAGGCTCAAGTGGCCTCATGCCAGTAGCGACTGCCACTACAATGATGGACTAGACAGCAACAGTGGTGAGGTATAAGGCCAGAAGCATGAATGTCCCTTTTTGTGCCTTTCATCCAGTGGCAGAGATTTATGTAGCAAAATGGAAAAACTTATTTATTATTTTCTTCCCATCACAAAGTCAACGTCTTTGTTAAAACATCAGTTTTGCTCCTAACGCAACGTCCCTGGATCTCATTTCCAGCTACCAGCTCATCCGCATGTTGAAAAGCTCTTTGGACCCTCAGCTTTTCTCCATGTAGACTAACAGGACATCCCTACCTGCCTGTCAGCGGGACACAGCCTGACCGTGAGGTCACGCTCACACCTGCAGGACTCGCTGTCCTCTCAGCACGCCGCACCGGACTCGCCCTCCACGCTGGGACGAGCGCTGCCGCTCCACCTGGACCCGGGAGCTGCGGCATTCGCTGCACTTTACGTCAAGACCAAGGTCACCCTGGCTGTGAGTCATCCCTCTCCTTTCCTTGGTGCTATCAGTGGAAGATTCCCAGCTCTCAGCAGAGAACCCGTGCTCACACCTCTCCTGTCTGCTCACCTGCGTCAACCTAGAGCTCACACGGTCCCGAACAAGAAAGGCAAATAAAGCAGCACCTTTTTGGCGTATTTTACCAAGACAAGAACTAGGGCTCACTCCAAAAGTCCCTGAACTGTTGGACTTGAAAAACAGTGCCAAGGACTGTGCCAGCAGCATAGCTCAAATTCTGATCTTATCTGCCTCCAAATCCCTGGCACCGTCAAGCAAAAACGGGAGAGGAGAAGCGCCATGGGCTGAAACCTGGTGCTGCCCGTTCACCTATTGGTGTCAAAGACGTTTTTGACTCGCCCTTGGCATCTGCTCTGCCTTGATATGCCTTGGGGAGCAGCACTAGAAATCAGGGAGAAAACAGGGAGGGACAAGGCAAGGAAGGGAAAAAGCAAGGAAGCACAGAACAGAGGAAGGAAAAGAAACACCAAAGCTATGAGGGGAGAAGGGGGATGCAAAAAGACACGGCGGGGAAGGGCAGAGCCAACCCAAGCAAGATTAGAGACTAAGGTAAGAAGTTCTGCCACGACCAGGAGGTCTCTTGGACCAAAGGCCGGGACATCCCACCACGAGAAGGAGCTGCATGCAGGGCAGTGTGTGGCCCGGGAACGAGCAGCCTCTGCCCGCGCGCGGCCATCGGGCACAAACCCCTATTCCCTGGCAGAGAGGGGGGACGTGGTCAGCGGGCGGAGAGGCACCTGCCTGGGGACAACGTCACGGACAATGGCCGGTGGCACGGGGCTGGAATGAGCGGCGGTCACACACAATGGAGGGATGCGGCTGGCACAGAGCGCGAGGCAGCGAATACATACCGGGATCGAACTGCGGGTTATGCTCATAAATCTAACTGCAATTAGTACGGGTTTCTGGATTAGAGAGGACATGAAAAGGAAAGCAGAAGGTTAGAGTGCACATGCCGGTGCCCCTTGCGAAGAGCCGTTCTCCTTTGCTGCGCGCTTCCCACCGGCACCGTGCTGCCAAGGCACGGCCGAGCCCAAGCTTGGCAAACACTCCAGCAGCCCGAGGCCAGCGCTGCTCGTGGTCCCCGAAGCAGACCCCCCGGTCCAACATGCCACGCAGGCGGCAGCGGCCCTTTCGGAGCGAGGAGGCTGCGAGCCCTTTCTGGCAGCCAGACGCAGTGGGTGCCTGCAGCCCTCCGGGCTCGCGGCGGGGAGCCCCCCAACGCTGCCTCTCCGACCCCGGCCCCTCTGGAAGCGTGATGGCTCGGTGGGATGGTGCAGAGCTGCAGGGAAGTGACAACTCTGGGGAGCTCGACTCCACTCCCCATCCGCTGGGGAGGGCGTTCACGAGCTAAGCTGCACCAGGAGGGAGCCGAAGCAGGACCCTGGCACAGGCGGCAGCTCCCGGGTGTCCCTGGAGCTCGCGTGTGGATGGCGGGGCCGTGCCGAGGGCTGAGCGCTGCCGGGTGATGGATGGAGCTGCTCGTAAGCAGGGCGGAAAAGGGGCAGTTCAACCCAGGGCCAATTTGCTCAGGTTTGCAAACTAAAGCCCGGAACGTGACCATGAGCTTCTAAGCTCCAGCAAACACGTTTCCAGAGCGCCTCCCCTGACTCCTGACCATTGCCAGCTCTTCGCTGGACTCTGCTTTGGCATAACTCTTGGGAACCGTCACAGGGCTGAGGAAGAGGCGCTGGGTTGTCCTGGATAAGGTGGTTTAGGAGATGCAAAGACTTAGGAGGTCAAAATAAGCAGAAGATAAGGCAGGGTTACTCTGAGTGACAGGAGAGGACGGGAGAGAACAGAGGTGGCTGGTCAGACCCCAGGAGCGGTGTGACCTTCCCTGCAGGAAGACACACATCCTCCTTGGTCACAACAGACACGCTGAACCCACGTAGCCGTCCTACAAAAACACCATGGGAACACTGGATTCCTGTCTGCTGCAAAACCTCTTGTAAAAGGGGCTAGGACACTAATGTAGGAGGCTGGAGAAAACCCTCCCAGGACAGCAGGAAGAGCTGATCAAGCGCAGCGCCGTCCCCCGGCCTTACCATTGATCTGCGGATCAAGGAGAGGCGGCTCTTTGCTTTGTTCTCAGCAAACTCCAGGCTGTTGATGTCCTTGAGACGAGCCTTGTACTTGTTCATCTGCTCTATGACGATTAATTCTACGCAACTGAGGAGTGGGGGGAAAAAAAAAAAAAAGGCAAAAAGACCAAACTGGAGTTGAAAATGTTTTGATTTGACATACCTTTAGGGTAATGAAATTAGAGGATGGGCTGTAGCTGAAGTCTAGAAGAAGTTACGAAGAAATCTCTCACAAGGACTATTTTGGAAAAATGAGTCATGCCAGCTCAAAGGTAGGCAGAGGAATTGCTTCCAGGGGGAATATTTCTGGCATTTAAATCCAGAAAGGTCCTCTGTGAGCAAGCATCACCCCCTGCATCACAGCAGGCACAGAAGAGCTCCATGCGAGCTTGGAGGCATGGTATGAGTATGGATCCTGCTGCGGGCATCTCCAAGTCCTTTTGGGTCTTCAGCAGCTTTAATACATCTCTTTGGTGGGAACGCAACCTCTTACAAAACCCCAGGAGAGCATCTTTCCCTGGATGCTTTCCACCACAATCCATCTCAGATGTCCCAGCTGGGCATTTTTACAACCTATTTAGTATATGCTAGACTGAATCTGTGCTAAGTGCTTTCCTTTCTTCATAAAATGTTTGGGATTATGTCAAATATCTTAGAGAAATGTAAATATGCAATATTAATGTTGCTAATTCCCAATCAAGAGCCTCAGCTCCTCAAAATCCCAAATTAAGTACCAATGAAGATCCGCTTTCCATAAATGTGACTAATTAGAAAACTACGTCAGCACAAGCTCCAGAGTCTCCAGCTAAGATCTGTTGGACATGAGGGCTGCAGAGACCTCATAACAAAGCTCTGGAGCCCGAGCTGATCTGCTCTTGTGCCTTGTCAGTCACTTAGCAAGGCTTGTTTAACAACCTCTCAAGCACAGAGGGAATACAAAATAGTTCATTAAGACCCACTTAATATGCAAAACAGGACAGTGCTGTTAAGTTTCCATGCTAGAGGATGGAAAGCTCCCTGCGCTGCAGCCATGTGACCATACTAATGGTTAGCAACATTTTGAGAAAGCAGAGACCAGATTATTCCAGGACATGGATTATTTCATGTGTTCTTACGTGGTCGTTTTGCTGATGTCCTGAACGCTCTGTAGTGGGTCTGTCGTATCAGGACAGCGCAGGATACACGGAGCAAACACAATCGCCAAGGCATTCGCTGACATTCGATTGGTCTCTTCCTGGAGGGCAATCCTAAGAGAAGGAAAAAAAGGGGGGAAAAAAGTAGATTAACAAAGGCAGCAATTCCAATTCGTGACCCTCTGTGAGGGAAAAGCTCTGGAAAGCACGAGGGAGAGGCTGGCTCTGGGCGGACGTACCTCACGAGATGGAAGATGAGGCGCTCCAGGGTGCTGAGGTGGGTGCGGGACAGCTGGTCAATGACTGAATACACCCCCCGGACCGTCTCCTTCCTGTCCTGCAGGCCTGCAGAGGACACTCCATTGCTGCCAGAGTTTTGACCGAGCCTCCTCGGCCACCCTGGCTTTGCGGAGGCTGCTCTCCACCACCAGGGAAGCGCAGCTTGGCACACAACCCGCACACACAGCCCCAGGCAACAGCTCTCCTTCCCCACACACCTCTGTGAACAGGCTCCCATCGCCCTCCTCGCGCTTCACATACTCAAAGAGGTATGTGAATTTTATTTATTTATTTAAAGGTTCTTCTGCTACAGCTGGCAGCTGAAAAATATCCTCATGGACACTATTAAAAGATCCCATTTATACCTGCTCATTATATTTAAAGGAAGGGTTACGCTCTCAGCAGTACTGCTTAGAGGAGAGATCGTCTGGCTGCTTGTCAGGGCTGAAGCCTCTGCTGAGCTGTGATGAAAACGCACTCTGCCAAACACACGAGGCTCTGCATGGTCTGTAGGTTGCTTTGCATAACAACAGTGGCCAAAACTACTATGTTTCTCCCAGCAACAAGGCAAATGAGATAGGGCAAAGCCAGCTGAGCAGACTGCAACTTAAGTAAGGAGTTAAGTCTCTCAGAGCTTCCCTGTGCCCAGGCCTTCAGTGCCGATGGGGAGTCCTTACCCATAGCTCGCAGGAACTCCTCGTACAACTCGAAGGTCATGAGAGGGTTGGGTAGATCTCTGAGCCACTGCTTGAACACGCTGGCGATGACGTGGATGTTGTAGTCGTCTAAATTGACGTTGTCAATGTCTGCTCCGCAGGGTTTGGCGGCGGGCCGAGGAGAAAGCGAGCAAAAAAACCCAAAACAAGCCATCAGCACAAGGCCACACATGAAGCAGTGCATGCACAAACTACGCCGCCAACACAGAAAATCTTACAGGGATGCCCCAAACCACACTGCATTCAGTTGCAAGAAACCTGCCACCTGATTTCAGCTTCACACATTAAAATCCCAGACACTACAAGAAGTGCCTTTCCCAGGGCAAGTGGCTTTAGGGAGGCAACAAGATTTCTGAGGATTAACTAATTCAATGAGAAGGATTTTTTTTCATGCGCTTGCATCCAAACAGAACGACTAGATGACATAAAGATGGCTCCTATTATGGGAGAGCGAGCTGGCATTTGGCCAGAGATGGGAAAGGATGGGTCATAATTCCACAACGTCTTTTCAGGGAAGGGAGCAGAGCTCCTTCCTTTGGCCCTGTTGAACTCCTCTGAGCTCCTTACATCAAGCCTTGCTGCTGTGGAGAGTTTATCCCATTTATTTTTATGGTTTTTGCATTTTTTTTTCTTTTTTTACCTGTATCGAGCCCTTGCCGCAGCTCCTTGATCTTGTTGGTGGACCCTGATTTTCTGTAGATGCCCTCTGTGTACAGCCCGTGCATTTCGATGTAGTTGATGAGCTTCTCCACGAGCGCCGGCACCGCTCGCTCCTCGCTGGTGAGCCGGGAGAGCTCCACGCCGAACTGCCGAGACGACAGCTCCGGATCGTACTAGCGGGAAACGGAACGGGAAAGGTGCCTTGAAATCCCCTTAAAAAGGCCTCAAAGCAACGCCCGCCCGACACTGCATCGCGCTCGGTGCAGGCTGCTGTTCAAACTGCAACAAGTCTTAGCTGACCTGCGCTATCTGCAAGTGAAGCCAATAAAACCACAGGCAACAGAGGCCAAGACAGCCCGGGAGGCTTAACCCCAGCCTGATGTTTTGCAGGGCTGTCACCACGTGCACCCCGTGCCAACAGCAACCCGAACATGGACAGCCCAGGCTTGCTGCTGAGCTGCACCACTAAAGCCGCTCTTTAGATGGGTCTCCAGGCACGTGTCAAGCGGTGAAAGCCACGTCAAGTCTTGTTCATTACTCCAGCAACGAGCAAGAAGGTGGTGGAACGGGGGACAGGTCAACGCTCTCCTTTGTGAGAACTCTTCCGTCTTGTTTTCACTCTCAAGGACATCCTTTCTCCAAGGAAAACCATATCAACATGAGAGATCTGGGAAGCCTGCCATACTGTTTAGTGCTCTGTGCTAAAAACACACCAGGAAACAGCCTTGGGAACATCTGGTTTCAGCTACTAGTTCAAATTCACCATCTACTGTTCTACCATCTCTCAGCCTCTTGGTGCAGGACCTGTTTGGCTGCAAAAACTATAATCAAATGCAATGCCACTAAAATTGCACATTGTTTCACTAAAAGGGCCAAAATTACTGGCATCAAGGGACTCCAAAACACAAGGGCAAAGGCAATTCTGCAGCCACCAAGAGGTGCTTGGCATTCTTTCAAGTCCACCACAAGTCTGAAGAAACAGATCCATTCAGTGACAAAGTTAAAAAGTAGTTACAAAATTGACTGCTGCCTGAAAATAAACACCTTAAGGCATAAGATACAGTCTGTGCACTCTGTCTTTTCAGAACAACCCTTAAAAAGGTTAATCCAACAAGTACAGAGGAAGCCAAAGCCTTCTCGTGGAAGGACCTCAAACCACCTGTGTGAAAAGCTCATGTGGAGAAACCATAAATTCATTTCCCTTGCTTACAAGTCCTTACAGCACAAGGACTTCCTTTAGAGTAGAAAAACCCCAAGGAAAAAGAAAGCCCCGAGCATCTCCAAGCAACTATTTAGAGCTGTGTTTTGGTTTAGGGTTTCATTTCTCATGGAGGGTAGCCAAAGAAAAAGAACCAAAAGATCAACAAAGAAATACATCAATTACTCTTTCTTGACATTTAATAACTGAATCCTCATCAGGTAGCTGTTTTATTCCAGCAAAATTTCCCTGGCCTGAATTCCCTTCCTGTTTGTTATATGGCTGGCTGTGCGTCACTGAATGGTGGCCAAGACAGACCCAAGGGCATTAGGACAAACCTCTTGTTTTCCTGTATAACAAAGCCCTAAGATCTCCTCCCCGTGAACAGGAGGAAAAGGTGTTCAGACCTCAAATCCCAGATGCAAAAAGTCTAAAATTTCTTGGAAAAAGCTCAGCTAGCTCAGCTAGCTATTTGCAGAGCCTCAGAGATCCCGTTCCCAGCTATTTAGCAGAGATGCAATAGAAGGGCTGTCACGAACGGGAAAAGTGCAGCAGAAATACTACATATCAGGGCAAGCATATTGAAATATCCAAAAGGTAGATGAGATTATTTTTTGTGAAAAACATATAATCATGTGGCTTGGTGGGAGCTGCACATCCCACACACCTCCTAGGGAGCTGATAAAGCTTTATGCACATTATTATGCTTTTTGGGGGTAAAAGCAGCACAAAGTAAGTAACTGGAGAAAAAAAAAAGCCTTGATGATTCATTGTTATCTTGATGACCTGCTGCATGCACTTGCTTGCATCCATACGCTTAAAACTGGCAAACGCCACCTAATTCACCCCTAATGAGCCCTGGCGAGCGCTCAGCCTCTGCCCACGCTCGCTGCGCTGCCACCTCCGTTTGGGGCCCTTGGGGTCAGGAGGGGATGTTATTTTTGCATGCAGAGGTGGCAACAAGAGGCTCTGGGGCTTGCAAAACCCCAGGGCTGCAGACGCCACGGCCAGTTCCAATAAGGCCATGGAAATTCATGGATTCCTTCGCGCCTAAAAGTAGGCATCCAAAAATTCCCCAAACCCACAGCAGGCAAAAGAGCTGCTGTAGCACAAATGAAGGAATGGCACAACGTGCCACGCTCCAGGCACTGCAAGCTCCCCATACAGCACAGGCTTCCATCACATCTATTATTTTCTCACATCAGCTGTATTTACCTTTGTAGCCTTTGGAAACTGTAAGTGAGGTTATAGCTCTGTTCAATGCAGCTGCAAAGCAGGGAACAGTGGTGCAAGAGGTACCACTGATAGGTGCCTCTCTATTACTACCAAAATCCATATAATTAAAGAATATTGTTTGGAAGAGCCTTCTGAAGGTCTCTACTCCAACCCCCAGCCTGAAGGGTTATTGCCAACATCATATGGATTTGTGTGCATGTAAATATTTCCTTTACACAGCTATACGAGAGAAGGATTGTGGTCTGAATGGCAATAAAAGGAATGAGAGGGAACTTACCTTTTTGGAGCACTTGGTCGTGGTTTTAAGACAGCACTTCTTGTGACAAGCATATTTACACACTGTAACAATGGGGAAAAAAACAGTATTTAGCAATGCAAAACTTCAGGCACAAATGTGAATTAATTCAAACCCTCTGCACAAATGTAAATTAGCTCCTCTCAGGATGAGTAGGTCAAAAGGACAGAGAATTTGCATTTGTCAGTGGCAAGTCTATATGGCATCTGCTCAAACAACAAAAGAAAAATTAACCTTTTAATTTTAAAGGCACCATATTTAAATCTTTGTAACATTAAAAAAAAAAATCTGACACATCAACTCGGAACATAATCCATGAGTCACTTGGAGCTATCAGCCATGGATACTCTCAAAGATGATGGAAATAGCACCTCGTTTTTACACTTCCTGTGATGGATATCAGCCTAAAATACCAGACGGTTGGTATTTCCAACCTCATCAAGGAAACATTGCAAAAACTGAAGGGAAAAAAAAAAAAAAAAAAAAACAACAACAACATCTTCTTGTCCCTCTTCCATTTTCTTGATCTCCTCAAATGTTTGGATGGTTTGAAATGGTCTAAACCAAAGGGACGTGTCACTATCACAGGACCCAGTGTGACAAGAACTCTGCAGCCCGGAGCTGGAGGACACATTTGTCACTCCTGCCACACCAGCTCCTCTTACCATCCATCTTAAAGCGTGACTTAAATGTCACTTAACCTGTGTCCAGGCAAGGGACAAGATTTGTAAGGAAAAGCTCCTGAGCACAAAAGTAAACCTACTGTCAGGGCTGCTGCAGGATGAACTTACTAGTTGACTTCAGAAACCCTTAAGATGGCCCCAAAACTATCTCCTTGTGAAAACACAAGGCATTTGTGACTGAGCCATTGCACGAACCGGCAGCGAACATCTTCCAGAGCCTAAAAGCCATCGCTGGAGAAAAGGAACGCGCGGAAAGTCAAACGGCCCATGCTTACATTTACAAACAGAAGCCCTGTCCATGATCCAGATCAAGGAGGAGCAATATTCACAGTAGGTGGGGATGCTGTACTGCGTGGCCTTAAAAATGTGCCCGTTGTGCTCTTCCACCTAGGAAGGAATGCAAGGGGTGGGTGTCAGTGGTGGGTAAAAGCAGGCTTAGAGCAGAAGAATAGGAAACAAAGTGCTCCTTCCCCTTGTTTGCCCTCCCAGCACCTTTAAACCCATTTAAAGACTGTTGAAGGCAAAGAGGTGCAGCCAGACCATCACATCCAAAGCCATGAAGGCCTGTGGAGCATGTTTTTAGAGTACGACCTATGCTGGGCTTTTCCCTGCAGGTAAATGTTGACCTAGAGCCTGTCATTTTGCATGCTGCTGCTCACAGTCAAACCAAACCATCTTGCCCATGTTGGCAGCACATCCTTTGGCAGCTGCACGTTCAGCCTCCAACATCCAGATTTCACTATGGGGCAGCTTACTCGCAGGTCTCTTATTGGGTGTGATTCTGGCCACGAGGACATTAATTCTTTAATGGACAGGCCTGCAGTGCTCAACTCACCACATCTGCCTCTTTTTTTCTTCTCTTTTTTCTCTCCGTTTTTGGCACCTGGTATTAAAAAGAGAAACAAATAAAGTGCATTTATGGACAGGGCCCACAGAGGACTCATACCTAACCTTCTCTATCTCCTTCCATCCCCACCAGCACCAGGACGGTCACTCCAGGGAACACTGAGGATGAGGAGGGCCTGATGGAGACCAGCCTCCTCCCCTAGGGGAGCTTGGCCCTGACCTCAGCAAACCCTGCCACTTCAGCACGGGGTCCTACCTGCCACACATGGTCACTTCATCTCAAATCTGTCTTGCCCTCAAGGCTATGTGCATCTTTCAAGGTGTCAGGGCTAAAATAGCATGAGCTTGGGCTTCTATGCCTGCCAAACACCCCATGTTCAGAAATCCCTCGAGTAACTCTCTCAGTCTTCATCTCAGAGTGGGCATTAGCCGCTGGTCTAGAAGTACCTGGCACGGCACTGCAGTTGATGCTCAACTCATCCCAAAAATGCCTGTCTAGGGAACCAGATGAGATGGTGCTTGCTGTACCCTGCACTATGATAAACACCATCTTCCAAGTCTAGCCTAAGATCCAGTGGTTGCTCTTGCAGGAAATAGGGAGAAGAGAGTGAGGAATTCATGTTTGTGAAAGAGAGTATAGACACACTGCAAGATCTGAGTGCTTTGATGACCACCTAGATCCCAGTTCTATCCCCTTCTCCTGCAACACAGTGCTGAAGGACACCCTTCCCTAAGGATAAGGTCGTAAGGAAGGGTGAAGAGACTAGGAAACGAATACATCTCTTACAGAAGCAACACTGCTGACCTGAGTGGGCACTTGAACATGCTCACAGAGCCCTAAATAACTGTGCAGAACTTGCATCTGCTTTTTCTCATCCCTCAGAGCAGCAAGAATGACCACCAGGAAGGGCCTTTCCAACCAGCCAGGGCTGCAGTTCTGCCCTGGAAACCTCGCCACATACTGGCAGTGGCTGAGCATGGGTGACTCCCTCTCTGCCGCTCAGTGCTCAGCTTTTCTCCTCGCCGAAGTCTCTCAGAAAGCCACAAGCCGTGACCCTGCAGACAGGCTCAGGGCAGAGAGCCACCCAGGCATTTGAAAGTCTCCCTTGAACCTCATCCCTGAGGTCTCTCCTCCTGCTTCTAAGGGTTCCCATGCCAGAGTCACCAAGGTGACTCTCCTCTCCACCATGGTCACTGAAGAAGCACTGCCAGCACAGGTCCAGCAAGGGGATCCTCCGGGAATCCCGCAGAAATCCTGGGTGAGGCAGCCTGGGTCATCTCCCACCAGTGACCTCCATGCTGAGCGAGACAGCAAGAACAGTTGCCAGGATGAAGCAGAAGTGGCCCTGCTAAATAAGATGATGTAACCCCTTTTTGGTGGTCAGGGACTAAGCAGAAGAGAAGACAACAGTCTCCAAGGTTTCCAGATATCTGTGCGAGCACCACCCCACGCAAAGACAGTTTATAAACCTTCAGTGGGCTAAGAAACAAGTGATAACTACCTTCACTGCAGTGTAGTCCAGGGGCTTGTACTCTATCATATATTCATCCAGAAAGACTTTGAAGGTGTTGACCCAGACTTTAACTGGAGACTCGCTCCAGTCTCTCTGTTCAAGCCGCATGGTCTTCTCCAAAATCTGCTCAAACAAGGCATACAGGTCCTTATACCGGATGCTTTTCCCATCATCCATCTTTAAATAAAGAGAAGCAAAAACAAAAGGGTTTTTTTATACACACCAGACTACCTTTTCTGCTCTGAACAATTGTTTTAGCACAACTAGAATCCAATTGCTTTGGAAAAGTACACATGCAACTAAAAGAAGGAAAAATGGATCATTTCAGTGATCGCTGTGAAGATACAGCAGAGCAGAGACATCCCCTACCCCCAAATCTAGCACAAAAGCCCCTTCTTGACAGAGATATTCCTTACTCCCAAATCTAGCACAAAAGCTTCCAGACATTTTGGGGGGCAAATAGGAGTTTTCGGACTTACTGTCATCTCGCATTTGACTGGGAGCAAGATGTAAATAGAATAAGATACCTCTAATCAGTGGATACCGAAGTATCCAGAAGATATCAGAAGATACCTCTAATCAGTGGGACTGAACACGTGGAAGCACCCTTCATTTGGGCTAAGCAGAACAGGAATGAAAGGCTGGCGCCTTTGTGGAACCTCATTTCTCCTGAGTAGCAAAGGTCCTGCTTGATGTGCTGTTACTTACTGCTAATGCCGAGGAGTAAAAGCTGAAGATGTTCTGGCGGAACTCCTTCAGGGCTTTTTTGAACACGACATCCACCAAAGTGTCCTTCTTGCTGTCCTCATTATCCAGTTCATTCATCTGGGGAACCAAAATGTTTTATGCACTAATTATGACTTGTGCCGAGACAGAACACTGTGTAAGTTCAGTATCGTTGGTGAACCTGAGGAGAATAGTCTCCACTGTGCTATTACAAGGTGGTTTCTACTGTCTGCGAATGCGAGAACTTCCCTGAAGCTTCCCCTTCCCAACCTCCTGGGTCACTCGCCTGCGATCGGTGCAGCGCAGAGCCATGGGAGAGGTGAAGCTGCTTGGTCTGTAAGGCCAGACCTTACCTTTTTCAGGAGAAACTCGTCCATGCTTTTCAAGTCACTAGCGCTGGTTATGATCTGCAGCGAGTCGTTCTGCCACTGCACGGGCTCCAGAGCCACGTTGCTGATCTTGACGCTGCGCTTGCGCTTCACTTTGGGAGACGGCTCTTTGTTCTCCTTAAACTCCTTCCGATAAAGTCCCGACAGCTCCGGACTCCGTGGGGGTGTCAGATGGTGAGGACCCAACTCTGCAGTTCAAAATTACGAAAGGGAAACGATAACCAAGCGGAGGTTAGTGATCTTTCTCTCTGACCACCCAGATGTGCTGTAGCAACATTTGTTTGCACCCATCTTCACTAAAGCTTTACCATGTGTTTTGTTTCTCAGTGTCTCTGGCATTAAGTGAGTCAAGCTATAAGGAATGAAAATGTTTTTTTCTCAGCCACCTGAAGTCTAAAAGAGAAGCAGAATCCTTTCTTTGGCAGCAGTTAAAATCTGCTTCTTGATGAAGTGTCAATGAGTAAAGAATCAAGCTTAACTTCTCAGAGCTGTAATGACAGTAACATGGCAAGGTAACAAGTAGGAAAAACAGTTCTGCCACTAAAATGAGGAGATAGGCTTCAAAATAAGCCAGTGGAAGGGAAAACAGCGAGATTAACTTGTATTTTCTCCATTGGTTTTTCCCTCTGTGGAGAGGGGAAACACTGTTGATGGCCAGCACTAAAATGAGGAGATAGGCTTCAAAATAAGCCAGTGGAAGGGAAAACAGAGAGATTAACTTGTATTTTCTCCATTGGTTTTTCCCTCTGTGGAGAGGAGAAACACTGTTGATGGCCAGATGGCTGCAGTGAGGATTCAGAATATGGGGATCATGTCACCCCTGGAAAACGAAATTCCAAACACTCTTATAGTCACAAGTCCACTTCTGAGCAGCACACAGCACCTCCTCGCTGGGAGAGAAAGAGTCTGGCCCATATCCTAAGGATAAAGTGGTAATTTCCATTTGTAAAACTGTAAAACAATCTGTATTTTTTGTTGTTGTTTTTGTTTTCATAATATTGCACATCTTCTTATGATTTTTTTTTTTTGACTTCAATCAAGACTGCTTTTGGATTGTCTCTTCTAACCTCCTTCCTATCGATGTACATTGGGGTCATCTGTGAACTCAAGGAGAACGGTCTCCCCTCCACCACACAAAGCACTGGAATTGACCAGCACTATGCCTGGTCCAGAGAAATCCAACCAGTACATCCTTTTGATTTGTGCAAACTGTACCTTGAGTAGGGTTTTCCAACTCATTTTCATCCACAAGTTTCATCTAGACCATGCATGCAATGCTCTAGTTTATAGATACCATGACCTCACAGATAACCCGATTTTCTTAAATTCTTAAATCTTCACCCAAGTCATTACAATTTGGGCTACAATTAAGAGTAAGGTAAAGTTGGCTTTAAAGCAGCTAATGCAACTTTCTGCACCTTCCACATCCACGTCCTGCAAACAGCACACGAGCCTGCTCGGTGCTCAGCCTGCACTCACCTTCCCCGAGATGCAGGCCAGGAACCACCTCTCTGCTCGGTGCTTCTTGCTCTGCGTAGAGCTCAAGCAGCTCAGACTGGGTAGCAAGCTTCTCCCGCGGCGTCTTCTTTTCCCCCTGCTTCCCCTTTACCCAGAATCTCATCTTGGCTCGTTGAGGCCTGGAAATAACCCATGCAAAGAGAAACTGCCTTAACTAGGAAAACAGCCCTCTATGCAAAATCTCCCTGACTTTCTGGCCATTAAATTCACAAAGTGCCAACAAGCAAAGCAGGATGCTTACCCTCATAAAACGCAAGCAGCTGCAAATTACACTTAAAAAAAGTGGTTTGGGATGAGACATATGCCCTGTTGCCTCAAAGCTTTACTGCAAAATGAACAGGACACCTCTTCTAACTGGGCACGTTGGCAGTCACGTGTGAAACATGTCACTGATCATCCCCCTGCTGCTACTGGCTGGTTGAGCTGGCAAAGCAGCTTTTGAAGATGGACCGAAATGGGGACCAGAACAGCTCCATCAATGCCAAGAAGATCTGGAGCAACACGGGATGGACTCGTCTCCATATTCACCAGCTCTAACCCTACTCCTTACCTCCCATCTGGAGCCAGGGTCTTCTGTGCAACTGCCAACTTCCCAATCTCCCCCTGAGACATAGTTTTATGAAGCTTCGTTTGGCCTTCACCAGATGCAAATCGCTGTACGGTCTGCAACAATTCCAAGCATGACATCGTTATAAAAAACAGGACAGTTCTTGGTATTTTGAGTGACATTCTCAGCAAAAAACTCACATGGCATCTGTCACCACTGAAGAACACGTCCTGCTTTCTACCTGCCTACCGATGAAAACCCAAGGTCCTGCGCAGCTTTTCCAAGCACCCACCTTACTGAACTTCCACCTCGAGGTGGAAACTCCACCTTCTTGCTCCTTCAGCCACAGGAGATCAAAATAAGCGTGCACCAAGCCACAGGTCTGCACTAGCCCAACGCTGCTGCTTAGGAGAGCAACGTGACCCATGATAAAGTCACCTGTGGCATTTCTAGCTCTCAGGGCATGACACCCTCAACCGTACTGGTACATCCTCGCTGAATCTGCCTCTTAAGCTCTTTTTGGGGATTTTGCAGGGGAAAAAAATCAAAATTCTACAAATCACAGCCTGCAGGGTCATTGCTTTTACCAGGTAATGCTTTCCCTCTTTTTTTTAAAAAAAACCTTTTTTCACACACGTACTATCTTCTCGAGCAGCCAGGAGATGGCAGCACATAAGGCAAAATTGCCACTGCAAAAGAAATACGGAAGGATTTGCCGTCCCGGTGGTTCTTGCAGTTAGGGGATGGCAATGCATGGATTGTATACAGACAAAGGGGAAAAAAATAATTAAAAAAAAAAAAGTGGTTTGCATTCAATTCACATGCACTACTTTAATTAGAAAATAAACAGTAATTAAATAATAATAATAATAATAATGTGGGTAATTGGAGAGTAAACAATACAAGCAACAAGTGCTTGAACAGAGCAGTGTAGTGGACCTTGATTAGCAGGACGGCATCTTTTCCCAGAGGGACCTTTTCTTGACTGCAAGACATGGGAATGTGGCTCTTGACAGAGGGGAAAAACTAGTTCTGCTAAAAAAAAGACCTTTTCAGAAGGCAAAAACACAGCAGAGAGAACCTGCGAGAGGCAAAAGGCCTCATCACTAAGATGACTCCTTAAATTTAGTCTCTCTCTGCTATTCGTAGGGAGCTGAAACTTGCTCTCAGTTGGCCTAATCAAAGGCTTGAGCCTCCAGCAGCAGATCTTGGCACTCTCTAATCATCGCTCCTGCAAGTCTCTCTGCTCTGCCCCTATTTTAGAGCTACTGCAGTCCAGCATTTCCTCTGCTATCAGAGTGGCCTCTCTACGGTTGGAGATGAAGGAGCAAAGCCTTGAAGGGCTTCCTGAAGCGCAATGCTCGCCCTGAAGGGTCCCTAGCGCCAGAGCTCCTCTTTCACAGCTGGCTCTTCAGGCACATTTGGCATTGGCTGGTGACAAATTACAGGGATGCCCAGACTGGCACTTGTGAATTCACAGCTTGGGGGCAAAACACATGGACAGAGGCTTCTCCAAGGCCTCCTCCTCTGCTGAAGAAGATCTAAATGCTTCAGAAGAATCCTGGCTGTGGTCTCCTGAACCAAAGTCACCTATTTGTCTCTCCAGGCTTGGGTGCAAAGTGGAAGCAGTATCAACGTGTGCTGAACACAGCCTGGGAGGGACTTCTCCGACCGCACACACCTTGGATTTTGGTTCTGGCCAAAAATGTACCCTGGCCCTTGCTGCTCTTGGACCACAGGGCTCTGGTGGATCTCTGCTCACCCTGCTGGGGATACAAAGCCACGAGCTCGAGGCTCAGGAGACCCCAGGCAAGACAAGTAGGCTCATGCCAGTAGAGCTGGCAAGTCCTCACATGTTTAGCTTCACCCGTGTCCACCCGTGGTCTCTCCTTCATATATCCAGCAGCCTGCAGCCACCAAGCCGCCTGGCGAGAGGCCTTTGGGGCAGGAGCAAGATGGAGCTGATCACTAACACGAGAGCACGGGGAGGCTGCCCGACCGGCCGTGCCATGAGCGTGCCAAGGCCAGGCTGCCCACACCCGGCTCCGGCCTGCCCAAAGCGCAGCCACGCTGCTCTGCCTGGCCATCTCAGCTGCTTCCCAGCAGCAACATCCCACCAGGCTCTGCTGTTCCCAGCAAAGGAGCCGCCCCTACGTTTTTGCTGCGAGAGCAGCTCAGCCCTAGGGACGTGGCGGGCCTTGCGCGGAGGCCCCACGCTGGTCCCAGAGGTGCAACCTAGAGCATACGGATGGAAACACTGTACACGGTGCTGCAGACACATGGACAGACAACACCGCAGCGCGAGCCAGAGCCCCGGGTAGAGCGAGCGATGGGAATGGGGAGACAGGAGGAGAGGGGAGACACGTTTGGCACCTACTGCCACGACGGGCATGCAGAGCCTGCTGGTGACCCCGGCGGAGCCGAGCTCGCCACGCAGCGAGCCCGGCCCCGGCGGCGGCCGCCGCGGAGGGGAAGGATTTCTACAGCTACAGAGCTGCGGCTTTGCAAGAGGGTCAGTCTCTAGGAACACAGCACGGCCCTGCGCTCCCGGTGAGCCCGTGTGCATCCAGCCCCAGCGAGCCTGCAGCAAGGGGAGCCCTGGATGAAACATCGGCATCGGCACCACAGGCGGCTGCAGCGGGGGGAGCACCCCGGCCCGAGCGCCTTCCAAAAGCGCGTCGGCGCTCGGGGAGCTGCTGCAGCCCTTCGGCTTCCCCTTCCTGCCTCGGCGGTGATTCAGTTTTCCGTTTTCACGTAGGGCTTTTGGCTCTGCTGGAGCGGGCACAGCCCGATTTTTATTTTTCCTGGCGCTCTCGGAGATGCGGCTCAGGCACAACGACGGTGCAGAGCGCAAGGCTCTGCCCCTGCGGGCACGCGTGCGGCTCAGTTCACTTCTTGCCCAAAGCAGGGAAAAAAGATCTCTGCGTTTTGTTGCCCAATTTGCCTGTTTTGGTGTTCCATGAGTTATCGTTTACCAGCACCCCTCCAAAAACCTGAGGCCTGAATAAGCCCTCAGATACCATAGCAGAGGGCACTGAATCAAAAGTTAGCTAGGGGCCATGAAATTTAACTTATTTTCTTGGTTGCTTTTTGGTCTCTAATGTTTGATCTTTTCTATTTGCACAGAGCCTCCTGCTAGAAGGTACTAGTGAGAATTTGCTGTTGATGTGAGCATGGTTTAAAAAAATGCTAAACAATATCAAGCAGCTGTGCAATGCATGCTGCAGTGCTGCAGAAAACCTTCACAGGCCAAGGGAGCTGCTCCCAAATTGCATTCCCTCAGCTCAGAGAAATACAAGCAACTTCTCCTTGCATTTGGCATTTGCTTCTGCTGTGTTCTCCAAGTTTACCCGCCTACAACGTCCTTGCAGGTGGGAGAAAAAGCAGTGTAGGGGGGTCAGTGCAGCTAAGGTTAGCAAAGAAGCGCTCCCGCCTGGCCGCTTGGCTCTCTTTTTCCTTGTTTCTTCCAACCCCAACCCATTGGAAAATTACCATTTCGGAGTCACTGTAACAGGCCTGCCCGAGCCTGGCTGCAGGCCCTGTCTCAGCATGAGGAGGTTGGTCAGAGGAGAGAAGGAACTCAAAATTGTCATCGTAATCATCTTCCTCCGTATCCCCCTCCCCATCAGCACAAGTACCTCTAGTCAAGAAATCGGAGCGCGTCCGCGCCATGCGGGCTTTCTTTTTATGGGTCGGTCTGGCAACCTGCTTGACCAAATGATAAAACAGATAACAAAAAAAAAAAAAAAAAGAAAAAAAAGAAAACAAAAAGAAAACAAAATGTTTTTAAAATAAAAGGAAAGTTTATGGAGGTTGGCATCACAGAACAGGACAAATAACGGCATCCCTGGGTAATGCTGCATCCCACAGAGAACGACACACTCTATTACATTTAGTGGAGGGAAAGGACCAGGGGAAAAAAAAAACAACAGCTGAGACAGCACTGAGGAAAATGGACAATAATGGATGTTACCAGGACGTACGGTAAATCAGAACGAGACAAGACTGTGGTCTACAGTGTTTGCCATCAGGATTGCAACACCCTTTTGTTGTTGTTGTTGTTGTTTTTTTAAACTAAGAGCAATTCTGCACTGCTGTTAATTAATCCTATGTGGACTATTTTTTTCTAGCAAAGGTGTAAAAGTTGCTGTGCGCTCAACACCCCCTTGCCCCAAGCACTTTGCACTTAGCAGCATTTGCACTTCACAGTTCTCGTCTCTGAAGCATTTGAGGGCAAACTGCCCAAATAAGGGTTTAGGGTTGGGTTTTTTAAATTATTGTTATTTATTTTTTTGCCCCTGTCCCCTTTCAATTCAAAAGAGAAAATGAGAAAGCCGCCACTTACCTCTCCTCGGCCAGACCCAGGTATCTTGAACGGCTTCCTGGCTGGTTCCCCCTTGGGAAGGCACTGTGGGCTCGCTTCCCTGCTGGAATACAGCGAGACGGAGGCATTGGCCTTCCTGGCAAGGCTTCCCTGCGGCACCGGCCCAGCCCACGCCACCAAGAACAAACTGCTTCCTTGTAGCAACCGTTTGAGTTAGAAACGGAGCAAAACGGGGTCATTCTTAACACAGGTTTTCATTTTGCTGTTCCTCGTTTTGCACACTAGCTCATTATCGGTCTCATTTAACTGCCTTTTGCTCAGTCCCCAGTTGACCAGGCTTATGGCAATGTCTAGAGATCCCAAGCCCTGGAAGAAGCCCATCATTCAAGCAATGCACGGTGCCAAGGCAAGATGCAGCCTGGAATGCTAACACCGTTACTTGTGCATCTGTGTGTGCAATGATGCGCTGCCAAAGGAATGGCCAAACCCCCTCTAGAATATGGTCGTTTTTCTCCCCAGCAAGGTGAGATCATCTTGAGCGTTGATTGCGGCTATGCTCATTCTAAAGTTAAGGAGAGGGACTTCTCTCCTGATAGCTATTCTGACCACCCAAAAATCCCTTTTCCTCTTCTATCATGAAAAAGAAATCCCCATCACCGTTCAATTGTTATAAATAAAAACAGTATCATCTCCACTGCCATCAACACCCTTCACTTGCCAGTATCTATGATCACCTCCCCTGGCTTTCTTAGCACTCATCACATAAGAAAATTAGGAGGAGTATTTCCAGGTCCTGGACATTTTTTTCTTCTTCCCCTGATCTGTGCCCTGAGGGTCAGCGAACCTGACACCGGGATTCATTTCAAGAGGTAATTTTGTACGGAAAGAACATCGTTAGAGATGAGTTTATGAGACTATGGCTATAAGAGAGCACATCTCTCTACTCACTGGAGGCCGAAGGCAGTGTCTTTTGGTGTGAAGAACATAGCGCCTGCCCTTGTGTCATCGGCAGCCTGGGTGGGCATGCGGGGCTGCCTCAGGCGCTCTGCCCGGGAAAAGTGGCTGTCCGGGAGATCCCTGGAGTCCAGAGGCAGTTTGGAGCTGGGCCGCTCCACCCGGGGGGGTTCGAGCGCCATTCCGGCCTGCCCTTCCTTTCGCTCCATGAACATGCTGACAGGTCTGTCTTTGGAAGCGCTGTGGGCCGGAGACGCTCCTCTGTTCCCAACAGTGAGACCTTTAATATGGACCGAGGAGGGAGTTATCCCCGCAGGGAGGCCCGTCTCCCCTCTGCTCTGGGGATGCAGGATGAGGGCAGACTGGGGCCGGCTCTCTGGTCGTTTGGATGGTTTGAGAGCCGGGTCCCTGACTCTGCTCGCCTCAAGCCTCTGCAGAGCTTCCACCCTCCCTTGTCTCTCAAGCTGCTCAAAGGCTTTGCGTTGTTGCTCCAGAATTTCTTTCTGCTGGCGGATCTGCTCCATCATCTCCTTCTCATTTTGCAGCTGAAGCTGCTTTTGTCGTTCCTCTTTCTCCACATTGAGTCTTTCCAGTCTCTTGATTACCGAGTCCGGCGAATGGGTCTGTATCCCAATACCTGTCCCATGTTCCTCTCTCTTGGTAGGAGGCTTTTCCCCTACCTCCCCTCCCAAGGTTTTGCCCCGGTCTTGCTTGTTGGACTCAGAGTCCTTCATGATCTCAGGGAATATAACTGTTTTCTCTTCTCTTTCAACTGGCTTGTTCCTCAGGTTATTCTCCAGCAATGACTGCTTTGCTTTCGAGTTGTCCTGGGGTGGGATGTAGAAGGTCGGTAGGTTACTGGAAAGGAAGGTTTCTCTGGGCTGCATCTTGTAGGTAACACTGGGAGGATCACAGACCTCGCGCTCCTTAGTAGCTTGACTGTCGGGTAGCTCCGAGTCCGATGGCCTCCTTTTGCAACTGGATAAATTGCTGTTCACGTCTGCTGTGCAGAAAGACTTGTCCTGCCACTGAGGCTGGGGAGTACTAGGGAGAGAGTCCTGGGTGCCCGTGGAAAACAAAGGCACATCTTGCTCTTCTAAAACTAAGGAAACAAGTTTACTCGGGGTATCTTCACAGCTTAACATCTCTAAGCTCCCTTGAGAGCTTTCACTCTCCGGGGTTCCCTGAGAGGAATGAAGTGCCTCAGCAGTGGACCGGACCTTTAGCAATTCCAAGCTAAATTTTGCCTGTTCCAACTCCCGCATCCTCCGGCTTTCTCTTTTGGCACGAACCACTTTTTTCTGGTTGAGATCCTCCAAAGACTTGGGTCTCTCTCTCACGACTACTTCCTCCTCAGTGTCCATACCACTCTGGCTACTGGCTCTCTCATGCCTTTTGTATAATAAACTTCCAGTATTATCCAAGGGGTCTGCATGATTCAGCCGATTATTCTCGATCAGCAACTTATGCTCCTCTATAGCTCTCACTCTCTCTTCAAAGGAGCCGTCCTCCCACTTGGATGGGTCTGAGCCCTTAATTTCCAAAGCATCATTTGCCTCCAGTCCATCCTCTTCTCTAATTATCAGGCTGTTCTCCAGCTGTCTCTCTTTTAATCTCTGCTCTTTTAAAGCTCTGTACCTGCAAGGAAAAAATAAAATAAATAAATTACTGTACGCTCGTGCCCTATCACACTGCCTCAAGGCACTGCGCCAGTGGCGTCTCATCACCACAGACCTCAGGGTCTCACCATCTCATCACCACAGGTAGCTCAGGCAACACTCCTTGCTGCAAGTCAGGTGTGAGAGCGCGTGTGCACTCATTAGGTACCCAAAGTGAATTCCCTGTCTTCTCTTCTGACATCTCTCCTAATCAAGGACCCCACCAGCACCTCCAAAAGCTTCTCCTGTGCTGACGAGACTCGTCACGCCTTGGCTGTCCGAGGCTGCTCTTCATCACGCTGACGGGGGAGCAACCAGTGGATGCTCCCGCACCATCCTAAGACCTCTCCCTGGCTTCCAATGGAAGCTTCCCTGTGGCAGTCACTCCCCACCATGCAGGCCATGCTTCCCTGAGCCAAGCAGAGCCCTTCCCCATGGGAAGTGAGCGCAGAGCGGCCGGGCCATCTCGCAAACGCTCTT